TAGATAGATAGATAGATAGATAGATAGATAGATAGATAGATAGATAGATAGATAGATAGATAGATAGATAGATAGATAGATAGATAGATAGAGTCATTGTACCGAAGTACCACGAAATTGAGCAGCGATCCTTAAGGTGCCTAACCACAACAAAAACACAGTTTAAAAAATATAAAACAAACTTCCACAAAATACATTTGTGAGGTATAAAACAAATTATTGCACATTTCCCCAAATAGCTATAAAATTCATGTGAGTCAGTTCCTGTCCAGCGCTGGAATAAAAACTGTTTTTTGGTCTGTTTGTCCTGGATGTGATGGGCCTGCAGCGTTTTCCAGTGGGCAGCTGTTGGAAAAGATGATGAAATGTTTATAAATATATGTAAATATTTAATCCTAAATCTAAATGCAAAAGTTAAATATTAAATGTTGTGGTGTTATTTCGGAGCGGAACACATCCTGTCTTGTTGATGCTCGGCTCTTGTTATGAAGTCATCAGCTTGAGACAAAAGCAACCGCTAACACTGCTAATGCTGCTAACGCTGCTAACGCTGCTGTAGATTGCATTTAAAATTTTTAATTCAAAATGTGTTGGTCGGAAAAAATATGGATGCGGTCCAGCAGTTTGAAGTGCAGCTTGGGCATCGGCAGCGGGTTTGATGTCTTGTAGGAAAGTGTTAGTAGCATTGGCAGCGTTAGCAGCAATAGTGGTTACTATTGTCTCAGGATGATGATGTCATATCAAGAGCTGAGCATCGTCAATAAAGGCTGCATTCCATTCTGAAATACTTAAATGTAAACTTCAACATTTAAGATTTAACATTTATGTTTAGATTTAAATGGTTAGATTTAGGATTTAATATTTACACATATTATTTAACATTAGTGAAAATGAGTAAAATGTAAGATTAATGAGCTAAACAACTTTCTAAACATGGATTTTACACTAATAAAATATGACTTTTTTATGTTTAGTTTCATGCTTGGCATCTTATATTAAAGTGTTCAGGAAGGTTTAATTCCAACAACCGTTTCGTGCAAATCCTTATAAAGCATCCATAAAATTTATTGGACGACTTTGACTTCGTGACACGTCAGACAGTTTTATAGAGTATATATTTTGGTTTGGAGCCCGTTTCACCCGCTGGGCTTCGTGCAGCGTCTGTATCCCCTTCTGTTATGCTCTTTCTCCCTCCTCCTTCAAAAACGTCTTGTGGTGTTTTATTGAAGCGGGTACAGCTGTTTCAAGTGGCGTTTCTTCAATGCCTCTCCACCATCTGCTATTCTGAGATCTTCATGCTGTTCATGGAGAGTGAGGAAGCTCTTTTCCTGTCACGATGAAGAGGGAGGAAGAAGAGACTTTTATTTTGGCTCATAGCTCAGCCTCCCTGGAGGATTTTCCAGGCTGTGACCGTAAAGTGTTTTATTTTATTTATTTATTTATTATTTTTTTGCATCTTGTCAAAAAATGAATATATCTAATGTAGGTAATAGATCAAAGAAAAGACCAGAAAGTTGCTTTTTAAATACAAAAATAAAATCCAAATTAAATGTAAGGTGATAAATTTTATATTTGAGTCAATTTTCATGTAAAGTTTGGAAAATCTGCAGGAGCAAAACACAAAAACTTGAATAGTGGCCATAAATGGCCCACGGACCTTAAGTTGACAGGCGTGCTTACAGCAACAAAAACATATGTTTGCATAAAATAATACTTAACAATGACTCAGCACTTTGAAGAAGTTACTTTTATTATTGATACAAGTTTGCAGCTCGTTCCCATGGCAATTCTTTGTCTCCATCACATAAGATGACTCTGAAGTCTTTTGATTTGTCACTTTTTACAGTAATCAGAAAATAAGTGTGGGAGCTTGTATTATGTGTGTGCGTGAGCAAATGTGTGAAGGTCTGTGGAAAAATGTGCGTATTGTTAAAGACTGACTCTCTGTTGTCACCAGCCTCTGAGCGTTTGATTGTCCCTGATTCATTCATTCATTCATCTCGCTTCTCTTTGTCTCTGCTGCTCTCTGATCATCTCCCACCGCTGCAGGTATGTGTTCGAGAGCGTGGGCAACAAGCGGTCACTCACCATCAACAAGTGCAACCTGTCGGATGACGCGGCATACGAGTGCGTGGTCGGGGAGGAGAAGTGCTTCACGGAGGTTTTTGTCAAAGGTAGATGAGTCACTGTGGGTTTTTTTTTATATTTTAGAGGAACAGATGTTTGTGGAGCAGCTCGTCAGCTCAGTCTGTTCTCCTGCCGGTTCATCTTTAAAGGGAGCCGCAATTAGTTGTAACATTAGACTTTATTAGATTAACATAAATTTTAACTGTAAAATAAAGACTGTAAAAATACTGTAGGCTGTTTAGTTTTGTAATTTAAAAAATATATATTTTAACACGGACGGAGCCATTTTATTTACACAAAAATGTTACAACTAATCATGGATCCCTTGAATGGCTGCAGAAAGAGGGAACTTTTAATGCTTGGTTATACAAATCAATGTTATGACAAGTTTATAAATTATGATTGATGCAAAGAAATTTATGATTTATTTAAGATTTTTCTTTGT